TGTAGTAAAAAGCTCTCCCCTGTTAAAAACCTTGTGCAATTTGGATTCATTAGTCAATAATCTGCAAGAGAAACACGTTTTGTAGTAATTTGAACGTCTTCGGAGATAGCTCCTTTATAATTAAAATGTTTAGTGTTTACCTGTACCTAAACACACGCGGTACAAATTGGAGAAAACAACGAAAACCTATCCTGCTAATATCTCCAAACTGGCACTCGCCTCGCCAATAACTAACCACACAGGCACTGTAAGTTAAAGGGTAATTATTCCTTGGAAACACGGGGCTACAAAGCATAGCTCCATTTAACACCTCGACATTGATACAAAGATGCCAAGTCCAGTACAGATAGGACTTACGTACCATAGCCAAACCCTCGTTGTGCAGAGACCTGCTTCTCCTATCTGATAACACACCTACATTGTACATCCTGTATTGTTTGTCTGGGAACAAAAGTCAGGAGTACAACTCTGTGCTCGGCTACCCATTGCATGATAGCATTAGTTCTACCTCAAGGTGTATATTGTTCTTCTTCGAATTATGTTTACAGTGAAATCTCGTTTTATTGCCGTCATTTGCACAGATATGTTTTTCGTTTATAAAATAGCTGGCGCTAAAATGAGGTAAACGTATTAAGGACGTCTTCAGGGGATAAACGAAGTTGACATATTGTGACCTTAAGCAAGGTGGCAAATGGAACGAGGGGCAGTAAAATCTCGTTTATTGCCACCATTTGCACGGAGAATGTTTTCGTTATAAGGGAGTTGGGGATAAAATGAGGGAAACGTGTTAATGACGTCTTAAGAGAAAAAAGTAATATGTAGGCGTTATAAGAGGTGTCAAAAAAACGAGGGGCATTATATCGGGAACCCGTGGATCTATGTCTATCTTAACACGAACGATTTTTACTACAAGGTGTATATATATACACACTATGCTTTGTGGTACACGGCACTGTCTTATCATGGAGTAAGAATGTGTTTGACCATATTTCTAACTTCAAGCCTTCAAGGAATATACTTTTTCCAGTTTCGTGAGTCTACTAACGAACTAAGGTAAAATTGTTTACATTTTTTACATGAATTTTCAAATCAAAATGTATAAGCATTGGTTTCAAAATAATCAGCTTGATATGCCAAATGTGATAAAATGTAAGACACCGACTTTGGATATTTAGGTACAAAAAAGTTAAGTTTATTTTGACGAATGTATGATTGTAATTTGTAGTTGGTAACTGAGTCGACGTTTGAGCTGTGTACACATGTAATTATGGACAGTATACATGTCACGCACTGAAAACACCTACATAACGTCAGAAGCTCTCTGTTGATATTGACAATATAACGAGGTTTCAAAACAGTATAAAGAGGTTTTACTCTGACTGTTAGTCTAAAGATATGAGTTATCACTTAGATGTCTACCCCCGTTATACTGCTAAAGGATTTGTATAGTTAGATTGAACGTTATAAACAGTTTTGTCGATAAAGCGAGGGAAAGGAGAAAGTGAAAAATGACTACGATGTAGATATGTGGCTGAAGGCCAGGGAGCAAATGAAACACAAGGGGCATTATATCGAGATGACCCTGATAGACCTATATAGACACAATGCTGGTATTCAGGTCGGGGATTGAGAAAATAATGCACCTACTATTACTCCCTGCATGATCGTAAGAGGCCGCTAATGCGGGAACCCCCGGCAAAATTGGGGATTTGCTTTTGTGACCTCTATTTGGGGACACAAAAGCCATTAAAATATATCTGCTGCACCCATTGCAATATTTGGGACCTTCATATTCCTACCTCTAACTACCTTTTATTTCTTTGTGCCTTGCTTGGCAATACCTCACTTTTGGCTCTAGTGTTGAAAGAATTTCAAACATTTTACATTTGGTCCCCCTCGACCATGAATCCTAGTTGTTCCAAGTGTACACAAATGTAGCAGATCACCGATTGTCGCTGACACACACACTCACGAGAGCCGTATGCGAACAGTGGAATAGATCTGCCAACGTGAACGTCGTCAGTTGTGTGTGTACGGAGGTTGACCTCGGTAATATAGGGAAGCATTCTTATCTTTAGCTGTCTGGCGTTTATATAATAAACTCGTCTTATGAGAGATACTGTGGTGTAATCGCTTGTCTTCAATACGTGACGGTTATAAAATCTCAATATCTACGGTAGCTTATTAGGCCCAGAGCTCAGAGTCGCCATAATAGGAAATGACGTCATTTGTCATATGATGTTAACATTTACATCCAAACGGAACAAGATACTGTTGAACTAATGAACATGTATGGCAAGAAAACTCGCGTCTTATTGGTTAAAAACGTGAGGAGGTATTGAATTGTTTATTTATAGACTCTGAAATCATACATAATACGGAAGTATGTTTTTCTTCTTCAACTTACAGAGAGAAGTTTCCTGTGATGTCCGTGCTACAAATGGTCGCTTGACAGGTTACCTCAAATTCGTGACTTCCTTTAACGGGTTTTTATGTAATTCGGGTCTGAAGAATTTCTTAAGTACTTCAAATTCAACCAGTGCCAATTAATTTCTCGACATTTTCTTCACGTTGGCAAGTGTTTACTGCATACCGGTCCACATAGCATAACTACTTGTAGGTTTTGCCTGCTTGACTAGTTGTGATATATGAACCTGCATACAAACCGTCAATTAATGTCAATTATACGATAGATATATGATCTTTCGGATAGAACATGATATATTTGGCGTTTTTATTTAAACTCCATCTCTAAGCCTCTCCGTACATTCTGGATTCTTACAGAGACTAATTAGAAGGCCCTCAATATCGACAACAAAAGGAAATGTCCGGAATTAATACCGGATGTGATACTATACAAGTCTCAGAAGGGATGCCAGGCGAGGATCCGAGATCACTCTCATTTCCTTGCATCTCCCAAAGGAATTCCGACGATCCATTACCAACCCTGGGACATAGAGGAAACAGACCTTGTTTTCCTAGTAGCAACATTTGCTAACCGAAAAAAATCCATTGACGAAACGCGCTGAGCGAAATTCGGCTTCCACCAAATATACGGTTTCTATAACAGCCAACTTGGTCCCATTTATGTTCCGGATTGATATTATTATTAAAAATGGTACATGTATATGTCTGGCTTGAACTTTTGTGATACTCTTTATCTTTTTACTAAAGATATACAATGTGTATCGGCTAAATAAAGTGATATAAACACTAAATGATATGCGATGCCATTAAACGTCCTTTCTTTTCGATTTAAGATAGGTGTTGATAATTTAAGATCATAAAAATAATATTCGTTCGGTGTTTCAAAGTCAGTTATAGGACTGTAAAATCGCTATTGATTCGATGCCTATAATTTTGGATCAGGAAAATCATATTAAGTCGGTGATGCTATTTTTAGATCCGAAAAATGATATACTGGTTCGGTGTATGCTAGCTTATCATAGGACCGTAAATCGATATTGATTCGATGTTTCTAATTTTGGATCCGAAATCAGTGTTCTTCTTACGGTTAAGTCAATCATTATTGAAGCTGAAAACCCCTTTGTAATAAGTAGTCACAATTTACATTCTTGTAAATCGTTATGACCATTTTGAAGTGTTTTGGTCTTTGCAATCTGTAGGGAAAAAATATCACTTGTATCCAGTATTTTTATGAATAATCCTTTGTCTTTAGTTATATGTGAAGCAGAGTTTTAATGGGTCGATCATCGGCGACCAGGTAGCTCATTTGGTAGAGCGTCCATCTAGAGTTCGGAGGGTCCAGCGTTCGAACCCTGGGTCTGGCCGTTGCATCTATGATTCTCCTATTACTTATCGAATTGAATATGTGATATATTTATCTCGGTTTCGATAATTGTTTCGCAATACAGTATCAGTATCCACCTCATCGAAAGTCCCTAATTAATCAATGCACGGTAAGTCACATATATTTAAATAGTTCAACACATTTATACTCGACGATGACTCGATCGCAGTTATTATGGCGAATATAAATTCAGACAAATAATAAATTTGAAATACAACAACAAAAATATTAATGAAGTGCAATAAAGCAATGATAGACAAATCACACTTTTGTTATTGTTGGTGTGGTGTTGTTGTTGTTTTTTTATATAAATCCGACATTTTAACAAACGGCACAGCAGTAAACGTATCCGTAGCTACAGAAACCCGATTGTCTGATATATTGTCCGAAGATGTAAAATATAAAAAATAAACCGAACAGATAATGAGATTCCGGTTTTCGCGGATATGCATTAAGGTTATTCATCGTTTGATATGCAAACTTTCAGTAAACACCCGCTAATGGAGGGGTTAGATTGTTTGAACACCACTGACTCCAAAGAGTGCCTCCTCACGATGTTACTTTAAACTAATACCGGAAAGGCGTATAACAATACAATTACTTCGGGAACTCCCAGCCGTAATCGTCATATAATCAGAAGATGTTGTATTTGTTATCACTACATATATCCAATCCATGGATTAATATGTAGTTTTCGTAATCTTTTCATAAACGCAAGTCATGTAATAAGGGGCATGTGTACTTCCGGTAATCACCGAAAAATCTGACAGCTTCACATAACAACATGCAGAAATACTGCTATGCAGTTTTCGATTGCATGTCTTATGATAAGTGATTGTCCCTAACATCAGCAATTTACTTCCATATTTTCTTATTCTTACTTCGATAAATTTGGCCTGTAACTAATCTAAGATGTAGTATTATACCGGAAGTGTGCATGCCCTTCTAATATACCACGCGGCCGTAAAATCATTCCGGCGATCTATGTTCCAGAAACTTGTCTCTTGGAAAACAAAATATTGCAAAATACATTAGCGTACGTGTCAACCATACAAAATAACAAAGCCGGACGTCGTTTGTAAGAGAGTACAAAATTCTTAAGTTAAAATTTAAGTCAAAGATTAGGCCAATAGAAAGTTGGCCTACACAAAACTGCATGTTTTATCTTGTTTTTTGTGTGTGTTTACAGATACTAAGCAATCTACTGGATATTGTCAAAGAGAGGGCTGACGATGCTGAGGCAGAGCTCGAAAGACTAATTGAGTCGCAAAGCTGCTCTGCAACATCAAGTGAAAACAGCGCCCGGACCGTCAGTACCCTTAGCAACGTCAGTTCCGGAAGTGACGAAGTATTCGACGGGTCCGGCTCGGTCCCTGGATCTCCGGACACAGGTGGTCGCCACCTTATACATAAGAACTGGGAGGTAAGAGTTCCGATCTTCATGAGCTTTTTTTGAATGTATGTAAACCCACATTCTTAATTTTGAACTGTATGTAGATTTTAGCATGCTTTATGAAATCCTCTGTTGGTCTTATGAAAATCGGACTTATCATTTATACATATATTTCAAATATTATAATTCATATCCTTGATTTATAACCGAGCTCTGCTGATTAATGTTTTTGAAAGTGTCCGAATCTGATTTTTGTGAGACCATTCACCTCTTTACTGAACGTCAGCTAGAACGTTGCAAACCTGCATTTCCGTCTCCTTTTTTTTTGAACTGAGTGTTGTGTCTTTATTTTATATGTACACGTCATGTATTTAAATTTTCTCTGCAGAAGTCTTTTTCCTTATTTTCTTACAGAAACGATACGAGGTAATCACCTATAATGATACGGAGATTGTGTCAAATCACGAGCTACAAATTGATAACAAGTCATATGATACATTTCAGGTCCAGTCCGACAATGCTGAAAACCTATTTCCAAATCTATCAAAATTCACAAAAGTATACTATATAAATGTGTTACTGTTGATAACAAGGTAATTTTATCGCAAATAGGATTCGCCGATTTTAAAATTTGTTTCAAAGTCGTATTTTGACACAATCCCGTATGTATTAAATATCATTTTGAGATGACCCTTTTAATGGCGTTTGGTGTATGCGGTAGTTAGTCTTGTAGCTGAACAACTAATATTATTTACTAGTTTAATTAGGTTTATAACCAGCTGGGTATGGCTTACCTGTTATTTTACGTTCGTGTCTGTAAAATAACGTAACAAAATTGATTCTAGTATGAGAGAGAGAGAAGAGGGGGAGAGAGAGTGAGAGACAGAAATTTTCGGAGAAAAACAGAGACATAGCCTGGCATCATAAAGAAAAAGCTACCAGGAGAGAGAGAGAGAGTCAAATCAAAATAAACAGGGAGGATGGCTAATAAAGAATTATAGATATATTGCGATAGACAGACAGATAGACCGACATACTTAAAACAGATAGAAAAAGGGAATGTGAGGCAGAGAGGCATTGAAATAAGCAGAAAGACAGAGAGATAGACAGTCACAGCAATATTTACAAAGAAAAAGAAAAGGGAATAAAAAGACGGAAAGACAGGAACGATAACAGAGAATAAAAATTAGGAGGAGAGAGGAACAGAGAGGTGGACAAACATGGTAACAGTAAAAGAGAGAAAGAGAGACAGAAAAAGACGGACAAAATAAAATAAAAATTGGAGACGGATAGACATGTTAACAGTGTGAGAGAGAGAGAGAGACAGAGACAGAGACATACAGAGAGAGAGAAGCAGACAGAGAGAAAGTCAGAGCTCACATGTGGTCATGTTATGTATGTACTGTTAAACCTGTTCTCTCTTATTTATAAAACAAATACTTAACACTTCAGACGTAGCGATCGTGACGTCTGCTTGAGATACGTTACATTTTAGGAAGGTCCGTACACGTTGTATACAGACGAAAGAGATATAATTGTCCCGTGCCATTGGCAACTTCCACTTTTCCAATTCCCAACTTCCTGTTTTTCATCCATAGACTATTACTAGAAAGTCATGGTATTTTGTTAAATCCGCCCGTCGCGATGAAAGACGTGCGCCTAATGCGATGGCGGTTCAGACTTCCGGTTTCCACGAAACATAATTCTTGGCATAATTCATGGACATAAAGCTCCCGCCATTTTGATCGAAGAGGGATTTATAGGCTACTCTATGGACAACAAGAGAAAACTGTTTTGATGTAGTTGTTTTGATTATGGTTTATATAAAATGTTTCTATTTCGACTTTGTCGAAGTATAAAAGGTGGCTCACAAACAAACTAGACATTCTTCGAGCTTTGGGCTCACTACGTACAATATATATAGCTTGAAGATATTATCACCGGCTTATATTTACAAAACGTTTACCCTTACATCCCTGAAAAGGAAAAAACAAAAACAGCAAGAATTGCGAAAGCATAAAATACAGCTTATATCCGGCACACGGCATTTTCTCTCAGCTTTTGGTTCTCAATTTTACCACAATAGAGAGAGAGGGCGCTAGTCATTTATCTGTAGGTTATAACTGCATCATAGTCAATGCCTAATTGCATCATAGTCAATGCCTCGCCCCCGCTACAAGATATTTCTCTCAGATTCTGGCCGACAAGTACGGCCTCGAGGATAATTCGTCAGAAACGGTATGATATATCTATATTTCCGCGGTCTTCTGTACCGGTAACTCATTAGCGCGTCAGTAATTTATAAACAATATGTGATGACGGCTGTTCTGTTCCTTGTCGGTTTGCATCTGCTCGTATATTTACTACTCTCAGGCAGCTGCTCAGGAAAATTCCCTTAAGGCCGCCAGTTATATCTTAGGTTCCGTATTATTTTGTAACGTGAGTTACGGACCTCGAATTTAGATATCACCTGTTTATCATCCGTGTTTCGCGAAATATATTTATATTTTGATAGATCCGCGGTAAAATGAACGCTAATTCAAAAATCTGTCGAATATTTACCTAAACACATTCAAATAAATCTTTGTCCTTTTCGTTACTTGATGATTCGAATGCAAATGATAGCGAACATTAGACTTAACGAAAACTGAACTGTTTGCATTAATTCAATGACGATAAAAACGCTAATAAGCGAGATTATTGTACTTAAACCAAATCCAATTACATCAAAGGGGCGAATCCTTATTTGAGATAAAACGATGTGCTAGGGTTCAGTACATTTAGAGAAAGTATCAGTTTTATAAAAAAAAAAATGGGGTTTAGCGACCTATCATCAGCCAAAGTCATCCATGTGTGTAACGTATGCGTCAGTAGCTGGAGTACTTGCTTCCTTGCAAAAACGCAGATCTGATGCCGACTTTTATAGTGCTACTCCAGCACCGTATTCCATCCCGTCACAAGATACTGACAATGGGCTACCACTTGTCGCGATAACAGTGATGTCATGCTAACTCGACAGTCAATCTTTAACAGTTACACTTTCGATATAATGTCCATCGATTATTGCCACCTTGCTTACCGCCAACATATGTCAGGCCGCTGCTTCAATGTATTGTCTAACCGATTTGTTGCACAAAAAATTCGCCGGGAAAATGGTGGCATTATAACGAGGTCCTACATTACTTGTATGGTTCTGACTTGCCTAGCGGTATGACGTTAACAAAGAAGGCGTGGCAACATTCTACCACATTCCCGTAGGTAATCAAACTAGGTTGTATGTTTTAATTCCTCTACTATAAATATAGGCACGTGGTTTAAAACAACATATAATAATCGCACGTGCTACTACCTTTAAAAGCCCCCTCCTGTGAAATCTAAAAGATCCATGGAACAGCAGCCCTTGAAATACTTAGCACAGCGACTACTCCTTACATACGGAGTCTGGTGATAAACCAGGTATTGGAAACGGAAAATCGGGTCAAAGTATATTTTTAGAAAAATAATCACCTGACCTGTTTTTTCATGTAGTGCATGCCTGTTTAAAAGCGATAACATCACTGACAGTTTCCTCTTAACTTATTTACCCCTGGAGACATATTTGAACCCTTCCAATTCATAGGTTGGAATAGTTCATTTTAAAATCTCAGGGATGAATGAGTTAAGTATGCGTGTTCACATTTATAAGGGTATAAAAAACCCAGAGAGAACTAATAATTCCATTTGTGCATCAATCACATTAGGCACAGATCTAGAGTTTACAGGTTGTTTGAGATATGTTTGATGCACACACTGTAAAGCAAATGTTTCGCACATATTCATTTATAAAGTAGCACCGTCCACTGCGAATGAGGTAGTGTGTATGAGAGTAATATATTGCTTGATATGTCGCTGATAATATGGTAATTAAGATACGCCATGGAAATGTAATTGATTTGTAAGCTACTGAGAAATAAATAATTAAGATAAAAATTGAAAAACACACACTGGTACCATATCACCTACATTTTGAAATCACGTAAGTCATAGTAAACGTCCTCTCTATGAACAAACTCCTCAAACTGCCAGGAATGTATTAATAGGCAATAATATATGAATTGCTGATACCGAGAATGAAGTTTATTATATGAAAGTAATATTGTAAGTAGGTCAGTGGGAGTAATTCCGTTTGTATGAGTGATACAATTCAAATATGTAATACGCTCGACATTTCAAGAGCTTTCAAAAAATCGTAGTTACTATAATCTAATGTTTTAATAAACTGTGAAAAATCTTTTTTGGTGTACCATGCTTTCAAGGTTACTGAGAATGAGGTAATTTAGATATGATTTAGAAATTTCCTTTTCACTGTCACACGTATTTTATATCCGTATACCACAGCAAAACACACATCGTTCTGAATGCACTGTTGTTATTTAGGGTCACTGAGAATGAGATAATTAAACTAGCATTTCCATGCCAACCATTGAGAATGAAGATACGACTGAAACCTTTTAAAATTGTACCACTGCACACATTAAGTTTATGTAAATCATAGTAGACCTACTTGCTTATCATGCTCTTGCACTTTAGGGCATTTCAGTTAATTACTTTATACACTGAAGGTCACTGGGAATGAGGTAAATGAAACACTATGAATGATCACTGAGCATGAGGTAAAGATTGCAAGACTCTGTTATCGCAATGAAGGTCAATAAAAAAAAATTGTAACTAAGATACCATTTATTACTATCTTACTTTATCCCCATTTTACAATGTGCAGTAATTGTTCTGTATTGAGAGTTGGGTAACTCACGTCAATAAAATGCGAAAATTCAAGCAATGTTTATTACCGTTATGAATGGTTCTTTTCCTGTTTAACATTACTGCAATTATTTATAGGGTTTAATGTCTAAACAGCTAAGGTCATTAAAGGACGTGCCTCCATGTGTGTTAAGTATGCATGCATGTGTGAATTTGTGCCGGAGACAGGGTATGTTGGTGTATTTGCCTCCTTGTGATAGCGTGGTTCTGATGCCGACATTATACTTATATCTCACTGCATTCCGCCCGGTCACATTATACTGACAACGGGTGAACCAGTTGCTGCCATTCCCCTGAATACTAAACGTTAAACAGGGAAATAACAACTACCATTTGTAATAACTTTGGTATAAAAAGGCCTGTGGACAGGAATCATTGCCTTCCTCACTTGGCCGATTGCTTAACATTAAAGCCAAAAGTGAGGTGTTGCCAAGCAAGGCACTAGAAGATAAAAGGTAGTCAGAAGTAGAAAGAAATATAAAGATCCCAAATATTGCAATGGTCGCATCCGATTTATTTTGGTCGGTTTTGTGTTCCCAAGTAGAAGGCACAAAAGCAAAACCACAATTCTGCAGGGGGTTCCCTCATTAGTCGCCTCTTACATTACTGCGAATGGTCACAGAGGATTATATGTATGCAAGGCAAATGTAATAACGTATTACAGCAATTAAGTTAAATCAAATCTCGGCATGGAGGATCACTGAGAATTTCATGAAAATATCGAGGAGACTCTATGGACGATTATTTAGAATGAGGTACATTTTTGAATAAAAAGATCATGTATGTTCACTGAGAATAAGTTAAATGGCACATAACGGATGATCATTTAGAGTAAGTTAATTTGAAAGTGTAATGTCATGGATGATCACGGAGAATAAGGTATATGATCTCAGAGAATGTGATTACTCTGTCATAGTTTTGTTATTTTGATTTAAGACTTTACCAAAATAGTGGCAGATTTTGAGAAAGCATGGAATGGATCTCGATGCAAACAGCATTTTTATTATTCATAAGTATTTTATGGTGTTGTTTTTTTGCTCGATGAAAGTAATTCGGTTCATTGAAGGTATTTATTTATTTTTTCATTCATTGATTTTGGAGGCATCGTAGTCTAGTGGTAAGATGCCGGGCTCGTGACCGAAGGGTTGCGGGTTCGAGTCACGTCACGGCACTGTGTTTGAACAAGATTCTTTACTCCGCTTGTTCCAGTCTACTCAGCTTTAAATGAGTACTTGGTTTGGCAGTGCTAGAATTGTTGAATGCTAGCTGTTAGCGCCGAAATGGCAGCATCGGCTGTATGCTCCACAAGGAATTGAGAACGAAACTGGCTGGTTGAAATGCCATATAACCACGGATAATAATTTGTGAACTGCTTTCAGACGACCTACAAACTAGGTTGTGATAAAGCGGTATATAAGAACCTCGAATGAACAATTATCATTATTATATTAATATTATAATGATTTAAGAGAAATTTCGATTCCTTGAAGGTGTACCTATTTGCAGTCAGGAATTGAGATCTCTCTCTTTTTTAAAGAAAAAAACTCTGTACCGCCACTGGAAAACTATGTCTTAATCATTCGTGTCCCATTTCTTGCTTGTTACGTTAATGGAAATGTGTGGTCATTAATGGAAATGCGTGGTCTGATGGGGGATTACGAATTATCACAATACAGCGCCATTACGATGGATTTATCACCGACATTACCATATCAGATTAAGCTGTGATTTACCATCCATTGTTCAAAATTAAAGAGGACGGTAATATGCGGGATACGAGCCACACACGTTATCCATTATGAGAAACAACTCGGTACATAGGAAGTTGCAATTATTGGAATTCAGGCTTCCATTAATTTTCAAATGCAATCTTAATTTTGAAGATAACCGACTTCTGAAAATACTTAAGAAAATGTCACTTACAATTCCGTCACCTCCTGAATAAAGGAGTATAGTCTGTGCTATTGTAGCTAAACTATGACTCGTGTTGCTTCACCATTAACTTATGTGGTCAAACTTTCGATTTATGTCGCTAAATCATCACTTCTGAAACTAAAACATTGACTTGTGTCGCTAAACCACTGACTTGTGTCGCTTAATCATTGACTCTTGTCGCTTTATCATTGACTCGTGTCGCTCAACCATTGACTTGTGTCGCTAAACCATTGACTTGTGTCGCTAAACCATTGACTTGTGTCGCTTAATCATTGACTCTTGTCGCTTTATCATTGACTCGTGTCGCTCAACCATTGACTCATGTAGCTAAACCATTGACTCATTTTGCTAAACAATTGACTCTCGTCGCTAAACCATTGACTCTCGTCGTTAAACCATTGACTTGTGCTGCCAAAGCATTGACTCTCGTCGCTTATTCATGACTCTTGTTGCTAAACCATTGCCTTCTGCTGCCAAACCGTTGACTTGTGTCTTTAAACTATATGTGGCGTAGTTAAACAATGACGCCTGCAGAAAACACCATTGACTCGTATAAACCATTAATAAAACTTTTAATGCCATTACAATGGAAAATTCACTAGCGGTGTATAGGTATGACGTTAAATTTCAGAGTAACATATTTTAGTTACACAAACTGGATGCACTGATTCTCTTTAATACGTGTTTTTATAGCATTGTTGCATTCCTACTTTTATTTTGTTTTTTCAATATATATAAATAAAAAATTAAAAGAAAATATATAAACATTATTGCATTCTTATTTGCCAGATAAAGTTGGCGTTGCTTGCGATTTTTTTTAATAGTAATCCTAACGCAATCAATTGCAAACTCTCTAAGTTAGCAAGCATATCAGCAATCTGTTTCCTCGCAAACAGGCTCGTAGAATTTGTTATTATTTCAACATGTTTCATAATTTCTAAGTCAGATGCGTATACGAGTGCTTTTTATATTGATTTTATCTTTACAATTTATCTTTTTTTTTATATATATTAAATATATGTTATCTTTATTGATACTTTTATGCTATGGTTAAGCTTTTTAATTTATAGTTTCTTTATACTATATTTAAACGATATCATCGTATACTACATATTTATACTGTATTTATGCTATATTCATACATAAGGTATAATTTGTACAACTGGAGTGCCTTATTCAAATACTACTTTATCTTGTCTAGAACCAGTTCAGAAAGCGGATAAACTGTCTTGAGCGACTCCTGGCGGAAGAAAGAAAGAGGGTGGCGACAACTGAGAAGAAGTTGGCTCTCGTATCCACAGAAACCCTATCGTCCGCCATGTCTGATGACGCAAAGCTGCACGAGCGAGAGAAGGAACTCCTCCAATCAGAGGTAGGTTGTTGTGGTTCCGTTCGATAAGGTCAAAGGTCAGCCATGTTTTGTTGTAGATAGAAGATACGACCAGAGATCTGAAACTATGCAGTCCCACCATACTGCACTTTGATCAAAAGCGTGACGACACTATGATCGCTGTGTGTGCTCCGAAACATGTGCCATTCACCCTAAACTGCTTACAAGCAAACATATATGTTTACATTTAGGTTACATCCGTTTTATGTGTTACCTCCCAACGGATTCTGCATCGTTTAAGAGACAAATTTGCATTGGGACCGATAAAAGGCAACATATTGAATGATAAAATGGTCCGACATCAGAACTCGATTACTGTTACGATGTAGTCATGGTAGTAAAATGTCTTCTAGAATGTTGGCTACGAACTGGGCTGTGTACTATGTTTAGATGTCGACCATATTGTAGCTTAACTTTTAAAAAAAAACACAAAAACACACACAAAAAACCCACAACAACTTATAAATGAAAGAATAAATACAGTGACGTCAACATTAACTATTTAAAAAAAAAACATTTGCTGAAAAGTCAAACAACATATCAAGGTTCTTACGTCAACAGAATAGCCCGGATGTAAATAAAACGAATCTGTCCAGAGCGGGCCGTATTTTCGGTTTAACATAAACTTTCACTTTATCCCTGAGAAATAAGAGAAAATTAATCATATCAAGAACCAAATATGAGATGTCTCCTACAGAGCAACTTTTTCGGACATTAGGGTACTCCAGAGAATTTTGATAAAGATATATCTTTTTTGCACTTTTTTTAATTAAGCGTGTTCACTGTTTATCTCTTTCCGAGACTTCAAACGGACACTATGAACAATATATGTAGTTATTTCAAAATGAAAAGGATCCTTTGACACATTGTTATATATTTTACATTTGTGTTATCTGTATTAACATATCAAATGAAAATAGCGTTCAATATAAAACTATGCATACAAAAAGCATGGTCTTGTTTAGAGTGCAATTTTATACACGTCAATACGACGGCTGATAGTCCGGTTCCAACCGCTCAAGTGACTTCTATTGTAACAATTCTGTTCTGTCGATAACGCTTGATTATTGGCACACATAACACAGTAATTGTCAGAGGACGTGTGTAATTTGATTTCGTTACTGATGACGGGAGGTTTATTAAATGTGTAAATATGGGGATCGATATTTTTAATCGCCTTGCTGAATATGAACTGTGGTGGCTTGTAAACTACACATCAATATGTCTGTCGTGATGTTGGTATTAGTATACACCCCACAGGAGCAATACATGTATGTCGCATGCAAATATCGATTTTCATTAGGCCAAATATTAAAAACTATTCGCTGCATTTTTCACTGACGTACATTATTTTATGGTTATTTATTTATTTTTTTATCGTATGTTTTCATATGAACTTATTCCCAAGATGTTTCTATGGAAACAATGAATACTAGAGTCCCTCTATGATAATATTTTGTGAGGAAATATGAAACATGAACTTGTCCGTGTGTGATTCCGTAAGTGACATTATACTTTGACACGGTTTTAGATGTAAAATTTCCATGCAACCCTACGACCGATACAAACTACAATATTTTAGATGAAATCGATGGCCGTGAGCTTAGATCATACTTATATTACACAAGAGTTACGGTGAAACGTTAACAAACTCGAAATATACACCTTTAACGTTAACGTTTTAGCATATTAATATAATAATGATAATAATTCGAGTTAGGTCGTCTCAAAGCGATTCACACATTATTATCAGCGGTTTTATAGGGCCTTTGCAACCAGCCAATACCTTTCTCAGCTCACTGGGGAACATACAGCCGGAGCTGCCATTTCGGCGCTAACAGTTAGCATTCAACATTTCTAGCACTGCTCAACCACGTACTCATTTACAGCTGAGTAGACTTGAACAAGCGGAGTAAAGTATCTTGCTCAAAGATACAACACAGTGCCGTGCCGTGACTCAAACACGCAACCCTTCGGTCACGAGCCCGGCGTCCTACCGCTAGACTACCGAGCCTCCTTGATATCTTCTAACAAATACAGCCTATTTAACTCGAATCATGACACTATTGTAAAAATGGATATTTTCTTGGTGTGTAAATGCTCTCGTTTTTCTGGTTTGGTAAATTAGCTCGAAAATAATTATCTACATTCAAATATATAGTTATAGATTGTATTGATAATTGATTGGTTAATAATTAGATATTAGAAATTTCATAACCATTGCTAACACGAACATTTCCACACCGAAATCAGTTCAAAGAGTCGCAGCGCGAACATTTACACTCGCGAAAATATCCACTTTTACGGTATGGGAAACGTATCACAAACTACGGTATTTCAACACAACACAACAGTCTCGTTATTCCAGCCACTTTCCTTCCCATCATATGGGCGGATTGGTCGAGTGGTTAAGACGTCGGCCTTCCACGCAGGGGACCGGGGTTCGATCCTCGAAGTCGTCGCACGCATGGACTATCAGAGAAAGTGTTTTTCTCATGCCCACACAACTCCAACAACCCAGGTGAAGTATAAAATGGTCTGGGGTGGATGTTGCGGTATCTGTGATGTAGCATTCAAGTGAGGTCGCACTATAAAAGATGCCGTCTAGTCCCACTACAAACAGAACACAATACATCTCCAGCAAACACGCAGACACATATTTTATAATATGACAATAAGGAAAACGTGACGAAGAGTCCCTTGAAAAATACCAAAAACATTATTTTGTATTCAAATAAGGTTTCATGCTTTCATCGCTTTTAATTCAAGTTGCGGATAAGAACATGCCGAATGACATTCCTTTTACTGACGTGTCACTCCATTGTCACTTCAAGGGAGTGATGACACACTGAGGGCGAATGAAATTCCAAAAGTGTTTCGCAAAAGCAAATTAAATTCTGTCATGTTTTAATGGGTTTTTTCAAGAATTACTAATGCTGTTTTGAGACACAGACAGCAAGACTCTCCTGTCTGACAGCATCACAAATCATGTGATAATTTTGAATCTTCTACAGTAGATTCTGTAAGGCAAGTGACTAGTGGCCAAGTGGTTAAAGTGTCTGACATTCTGCTACCACTAGCCCTCCACCATTGGGTCGCGGGTTCGAGGCCTCCGTGGGGCAGTCGTCAGGTACTGGCCGTAGGTCGGTGTTGTTTTTTCTCCAGGAACTCCTGCTTTCCTCCACCACCAAAACCTGGCACGTCCTTAAATGACCATAGATGTTAAAAGAACGTAAAACACAAACAAACAAAAAACAAAAAACAAAAGGAATATGACAAACGGTTTATACCTGAGATTATTTTGTCATCCCTACTTCCTGTTCAGGTTGAGTAATGCACGATAACCAAGTCGAAGACTCATTATGAGACTATTGTGCTCTGACGAGAATGTAATACTGGTTTTAGCAAATTATTTGAACTACAAACATACGCTTCAGACTTTCATTAACAGTAGTTGGAATATGATCAACAATTCTACCGGAGATAATTGTGTCTTCCTTACTTTCTGTTGCTGTTGAGAAATGCACGATCACATAGACGAGGATTATAAGACTATTGTGCTCTGACGAGAATGTAATACTGGTTTTAGTACATGATTTGAACAGAAAACATACAATTCAGACCTTCATTAAGCGTAATTGGAATATGACCAACTATATTATTGTGATTATTGTGTCAACCCTACTATCCCTACTGAGGTTGAGTAGTAATAATGCATGATACCCGAGCCGAAAACTATGCCACTATGATGCTTTGAACAGAATGTAATACTGGTTTTAGAACATCACAAGATTTGAACAGAAAAACAGTTTTAACAGTACTAACAGAAAAAAGGGCGTTTTTAGTTCCAAAAAGGACTATCACATCGATTTCTAAGAATGTGTTTTCTTTTATTCTCCAGGTCCTGGACAGTACGAAGTTGCTAAAGATTGCCAGTGACCAGATTAAGGGTCTACGTGAGCGCGTGCTGACCCTAGAGGATGAAAACAAGGTCTTGCAATCCAGTCAAACTATGGTACGTTTTAATACAAAAAGTTTAAAAAAATAAATTGATAAATATTGAATATAAATTGATTATAAGCTCTATAAATTTAATTGATAAGTTCTGCTTTAATGCCCCTCTTCTATTTATGACATTTCAGATTTTTCACCATATGCGCGATGATCGTTAAATGTATTTGGTTGGTATTTAAATCGATTTATTGATATTTATTCAATTTTAATAAATCACAAATAAGTTCCTTTTGTTGAATAATAAGAAAACAAATATCCCGTAAGGCTCTTTTAATGTAATGACAACTTTTAATGCATAACCGGTAAACCTGATGTGGATGTTATAATTTGTATGAAATGTTATATTAAATTTAGTTCAGTTCAATAATTGTATTGCTCATTTATAGTTACATAGTTACATAAAATATTGAATGTTTCTGATCTAGGCTGAGACAGAAGACTCCGATATAGACCAAACCCCATCCGGAAGTGTCGATACCGTTATAGAGCGACCAATCGGAGGCGTCGGTACTGAAGGGGCCAAGGCCAAAACTCCCTCGGTACGTCACGCGTTAACTAATTACTAGATTGTTTGATGCAAAAGGATTTATTCTCTCTGTTCAAAACACGAATTTATTTTGGACCACCTTTGATTTCAATATTCAAAATAGATGTAACAATAAGATTATGAATATTCATGAAACGTCACTTGGCATTGTTATATGCGCTGCGTTGCAAAAATGATAGATAATTCGGAGCACATACATGTGAAAATAAAAGAAACGACCAATTTAATTTTTATAATTTTTTTTCTTTTTTTTTCAGTTTAGTCAAAATAGAAAGGTATTTTCAAAACTGTCATTAACTAGGAAAATATTCTGTTGAATTTCAAATGTCGTTAGTTCTAAGATACAAATAAATGAATGGTACGTCGAACGACGTCGCTCCGATCCATTTGGTTAGGATATCACGAATTAAAATGACTGGTTTTCCTTATTATTGTGATTATACTTAACTTCAATGGGCCATGTAACCGTGAATAAAAGCACATCAAAACAAAAATCACAACGAAACGTTGTCTTTTAAAGAATTGTACAAAAATCAAACATGAATTGTATCCCGATATCTTTCGTAGAGTGTTTTCATTTATTAATTTTTAACAATAAAAACATTTCAACACACGGAAAAATAGCAATGTCTATCAAAACAGCAATGTCTATCAAAACAGCAATGCGTTTGTGTGGAATATACATTTTGGATGCCATACTAATCATGTCGTCACCACTTCTGTTTTAGCAAAGTGAGGATGAGATAATCATCCTTGGAAATGAGGTTGAAGTATACCATTCCAAGGTGTTGGAACTAGAGGCTCACCTAGAAGAGGTAAGTAAAATATACCATTCAAATGTGTTGTAATAAGAGTCTCACGTAGAGGAGGTAAGTATATTATACCATTCCAAGGTGTTGGAACTAGACGCTCACCTAGAAGAGGTAAGTAAATTATACCATTCAAATGTGTTGTAATAAAAGTCTCACGTAGAGGAGGTAGGTATATTATACCATTCCAAGGTGTTGGAATTAGAGGCTCACCTGGAAGAGGTAAGTAAAATATACCATTCAAATGTGTTGTAATAAGAGTCTCACGTAGAGGAGGTAGGTATATTATACCATTCTAAGGTGTTAGAACTAGAGGCTCACCGAGAAGAGGTAAGTAAATTATACCATTCAAATGTGTTGTAATGAAAGTCTCACGTAGAGGAGGTAGGTATATTATACCATTCTAAGGCGTTGGAACTAGAGGCTCACCTAGCTAGAAGAGGTTAGTATATCATACTCTTCCAAGTTGTTAGAATTAGGAGTTCACCTAGAAGTGGTGAGTAAATTATACCATTCCACTGTGTTGTAATAAGAGTCTCACGTAGAGGAGGTGGGTATATTATACCATTCCAAGGTGTTTGAACTAGAGGCTCACCTAGAAGAGGTAAGTAAATTATACCATTCCACTGTGTTGTAATAAGAGTCTCACGTAGAGGAGGTAGGTATATTATACCATTCTATGGCGTTGGAACTAGAAGCTCACCTAGCTAGAAGAGGTAAGTATATCATACTCTTCCAAGTTGTTAGAATTAGGAGTTCACCTAGAAGTGGTGAGTAAATTATACCATTCCACTGTGTTGTAATAAGAGTCTCACGTAGAGGAGGTAGGTGTATTATACCATTCCAAGGCGTGGGAACTAGAAGCTCACCTAGAAGAGGTTAGTAAATTATACCATTCCAATGTGTTAGAACTATGGGCTCACCAAGAAGAGGTAAGTTAATCATACAATCCAAGGTGTTAGAATTACGGATTCAACAAGAAGAGGTAAGTATATCATACTCTTCCAAGGTGTTAGAATTAGGGGCTCAACAAGAATCTCTAGGTAAACAATACTCTTCCAATGTGTTAGAACAAGGGGCGCAGGAAGAAGATGTTAGTAAATTATAGCATTCCAAGGTGCTGAAATTAGGGGCTCACCAAGAATGGGTAGGTAAATATTACAATTCCAATGTGCTATATTTAGAGGCTCACCAAGATGAGGTAAGTAAATTATACCATTTAAAGGCGTTGGATTTAGGGGCTCACCAAGAGGAGATAAGTCAATTTTACTATTCCAATGCGTTTGATTAAGGGGCTCACATAGAGGAGGTAAGTATATTTTACCATTTCAAGGTGTGACAGGATTTAAGATTTAAAAATTAAGAGTCGAGAGGCAGAAAATAAAAATGTAAGACCACAACATTATTACTTGTTTCTTGATTCCAAACCGTCATCTGTAGAACGCATAAAAGCCAAAAACTTTCAGAAATTCTCAAAATCGTTCAGAACGGAAATTTGGAAAAGGGTTTCGTTTTGAAATGTTAAATTGACGTTGATTTGAAAATTGGGGGCCTACATATATACAAGGTAGACATGCAGTCTAGAAACGGCATTTACCATATGGTTAACGAGCACTAGGGAATCAGAAATATACTCGAACAATTTACTGGGTTTTAAATTTTTAATATATATGTAAATTGTCACGATATTTACAGGTTCATTGGAATTAAGTTTATGATGCGAGGACGTTAAACCCAAAACAAAAACAATGATTAAAATTTAATTTTAACTTGATGAATGAGATACGTTTAAGTATGATTTAAGTGGTTTTTGAGCATTTTAAATTTTCAATAAATATTTTTCGTATTGTCTGAACTAATACATGTTTTCAAACACACCAGAAGAACGTTCTCACATGTTAAATTCTACGTTTAAAATAAAACTTTTTGTTTCGTTACAGGTGAATGAATATTGGCAAAGTCAAATTGTCAATAGAGACAAAGAAAGAGAATCATTTATGAAGGAAGCAAAAAAGATGTCTGAGGACTGTGATGCTTTGAAAGACACGATTTCAAAGTTGAAAGATGAGGACATTCGGAAAGAAAAACTTCTGAAAGATCTGGAAACAATGGTCCAAGATAAGGTCAGTGTTGTTTTTCGGAAGGAGGAAATATTACAGGAACGTGAGGAAATTATACGACAGCGAGAAGAAGATATGCAGTCCATGCTTGATCAAATCTCGCAAAAGGATGACGAACTCCGTGAACTTCGCGAGAATTTGCGTTCGAGGGACGAATGTTTACGCGAAAAGGATGTTGTCTTGGAATCAGTTAATACAGATGTGACGGACAAAGAACGTGAGATTAATTATTTTAATGATGAATTGACGGCATTGCAGGGAACTTTAGACAAAAAGGATCAAGAAATTTCAATTTTGGAAGAAAGAATTACAGAGATAGGTAGCGTTAAACAGTCAGATTTAAAAACCGAAAATATTAGGCAGAAAGGTGATCTCGAGAGTCTGGCTACCAACTTGGGTAAACTTCACGTGGATAATAGTACATTGCAATCAGATTTAGAAAAGGCGAAGCAAGCATTAAGTGAAGCTATGGTATTATGGAATAAAGATAGGTCTAACTTAGAGGCAGAATTAAATATAGTTCGTGAAAAGTTACACTTGTATCAAAGTACTTTAGACAAAAACGAGCCACAGGTTGTAGCTACTTTAAGAAAAGAAGCGCATAAAATTCTAGAACAAAAAGAGAAAGTATCGGGAGATTATAGAGTGCTTCGGGTCGAGAACGATGCTAACATACGAACATTGAAAAACGAAAAGTACAAACTTCAGGAGGAGTTAACACAAAAAATTAGGCAACTCACGGCAGAAATGACAACAAACGACAAAAATTCTCAGGAACTAGATCGTCTAAGAGCGCAGGTATGTCCGGCCTTTTAGGAAGAGAGGAAACAAAGGGCGTATTAATATCATAAAATGTCCGTTCAGCATGATTATCAGTAGCTTTAAGGAGGAATGCTATAATACGCATGTTTTTATCGTGAAGTTCGTGTGTTAGTGTAGTTGAGCTTTAGGAATTAAATTCGAAATAACTGTTATTTTCCTATACATGTAACACTTCAATTTTACTTCGCATTTTCACACTGTTTTGTAGAACTGCATCCGTTCATGCAGTTCATAATGTTGTATATTCGTTTCTATATCAATATAAGCATGTTTAAAATGTTTTGTCATAAAATTTATTGAAATTAATTCAAATACAAAACACTAAACTTACTTCAACTCTACACTCATGTAATCTAAAAACTGTTTCCTTGACAATTCACTTACGACAGTGAAAACTTTTTTAAGAACAAAAAAATACAAACCATACCACCACTTCTAGGTTAATATTCATGAAACTATTATTTTGCTCAAGCATATATTTTGTGCTCAAGCCAATTTGCTTAAATTATGTGACTTTTCAAAAAATCAAGTTTAAACACTGAAAACGGTATTCGGATTTAGATCTTTCCGAATATATTCCAAATCAACACTGGAATAAGGAATTTGGATTGAACACAGAGTCTAATTGAGAGCATCGAACCGGTTTCACGTGTACGGGGCCTGTATTCATGAAGCCGTTCTCATGCTCGAGCATGGATTTTGTGCTCAAGCCTAATTTCTTAACTTAACGATTATAAATTATTAAACCAATCTTATGTTGTCTGTGAATTGGAAAACAATATGAAGAGACTTTAAGCCGAATAGTGTTTTCAATGTTTACAATTGACTTCTTGGTAGTTTGACCTGATTAAAGTGAGTTACAAGAAAACTGGTCTGAGCACAGAATCCATGCTGGGACATGAGAACGGTTTCATAAATACGGGCGTCCTGTTTTGATTCAGTCATGATTCCATAGTTGTAAGAGTTATACAGATTATTCTATATAGTTTGGCTTACATTTCGTTTTTAAATGTTGGCTATATTGTAGTAGTTTACACTATATCATTTCAGTATAGAGGTATTCTCCACAGCACTTCTGTCGACTATGAGATACCTTAATCTCCCATGTATGTTATCAATAAATCACGTCGATCCCTTTCTAGCTTTAAAAGCCCACACAAAGATATCTGCAGGATTTATATATTAACTTTAATTGCCTGCAATATTTCCAATGCATGATACAAAAATTAAGAGTCTTTTTGCTTCGGAAACGCTGACGAACATAGTTTATCTGCAGCCACTTATCATAATACACATGATCTTTTCCGTCTTCATCGTGTTATATCTCTTAACACTCCATCTTCTTCTGACTATTTTTTGCGAGAATGTAAAATGTCCAAAAATTACATAAATTCTAAAAATAATACTATCTCATAATAACAAAAACTTCGGCTTCGGTGTCAGCTGTATTTTTTGACGTTCTGTGTTTCAATTTCTATCGATCGAAAGTGGAATCTAATACTCGTTCCTGAAACAGTCATGAATTCATGACTTAAACATTAATTATAGGTCAATGTAAGTAAGTTATAATATTTTAAAGAAATCTAGCAAAATCATTTTTTTGATACAAATAAACCTATCGTGTCATATCTAAACCAGAAAATCGGTCAGTGCTTATTTTTTTGGTTTGTAAATTGAACAACTTTTACCTTCAAAACATCTGTCTATTCTGGACAGTGGGTTCTGTTTTTGACATATTTCACCGTATCATAAAAATTATGCAACCTTGAAAACCATCATTTAAGTTTTTTATTTCATTTCTTTTAACTTAATTGCTATTGGATAATCAATTATATCTTAAACAATGAAACAGTACAGAGGGATTGGGGGAAGCAAAATAAGAAAACTTTATCGCAAGTTTCTTGACATAAGTATCAATGCTGAAACTGATAGGAATCTTGATATATAATTAAACACTATAAATAATCTATAAATACCCTACGAAATTATGTCTGTGATTCCTTACAAAAGTTGAAACAAGCCACAACTTGCGGATATAAAAATTTTTTGGTACTGTAGAAAGTTAAGTTTCTGAAATATTGTTTCTAGAAAGGATTCGCGGAGAAAAAGTTCGCACAACACTAAATAATCGATACCGTTTAAGTAACTCTATTGAAAGGGTAACACATTTGTGGCGTTCAGATTTTGCGGATTGTTGGAATGCGAACAAATAAAATGCCTGGGAGTCACTATGCTTCTTCTTCTTCTTCTTCTTCTTTTTGTGTGTGTATTATTTTACAATTTATGCAGGGTCAGAAAACAAATAGGCTTCCTTAAATACAACTGAGAACTGAAATACAAATATTGTATAATTTCCCGCTTTGTTATTATGTAAATTTACTTGCTATTATCAAAAAATTGCAACGCAATGAAGTTGCGTCATTTACCTAGTGTCAAAATATGTAAAATTTTGACGTTGCGGGAAACCTAAAAATTCATATTTTCAAAATGGACTCCTAGTTGTTAATTTATTCCAAAACGTGTAACAGTTCCGTCAAAAATCGGTTTCTAGTTTTTTGACACATTTTTGAATGCATAGTTACTTTTGAAATTGATAATAACTTTAATGAATCCCAGTTTCGCCAGATCAAAACGATACTTGAACGTAAATTAAACCTCATAAGAGCACATACATCCTTAACACATCAGTTTCATAATTCACAAGGTGTTTGTTGTCGATGAAGCAGAAGACGCTTACCTTCCAGAGCACTTTATTCTTCTTGCAATTTCTAAAGTCTCCTTGTAAATCAGTCCTGTGTCTTGGTGTTTTCGATTTAGAGTTCAAATTATGGTTTTGTCAATACTTCGGTATTCTCTTGTTGCGTTTTTAAGGGGGAAAGTTTAAGTCAAATTAACAATTAAAACACAGAATTAGGATTTTTCGAGCCGTATTATTAACTAACATGGGGTCCCATATCTTCACATAGCAAGGTGTTGATGTCAATAAAACACTGGCGTCACTGTGGCAATAAATGCACCACATGGGATGTTTATGATACTAATCAGAGAATGTCACGTATGTTAGACGCCATTCTTTGTAGAACGGGGTTTTCGTCTTGTCATGAATGCTGTTGGGTTATTAAAACTTCTGTTAATATATTGGGGTCATGGAGGCTATGAAATGCAAGTTCATTTAAGAAATATGCGCAAAAAGAGGGCGCTGTACGTCGTGTTACAGTAAACAGGCACTTTATCTCACGTGAATACGTGAATTGCACGTGTAAAACGACGCTGTAGATCAAAGTGATGAACCAGAACACAAACTGTAGTGGTAGTGGTATNTCAGTTACACATGTCGGGACTGTACATATGATATCTAATTTTCATTTCAAGTGTCCCATTCATATATAGTTAATTGCATACCACTGTACCTGTATTTATATCATAAAACTTATCATAAAAGAGTTTACTCGGAATTTGACTTATCATGAAACATTTGTTCAGAATTATACTTCTTAATTTTACTTATTGGGAAACTTTTCTACAGGATTTTCTTCACTAATTTTTTTTATCAAGTTTAGTATCGACGAGTGATGTATAACCATAAGTCAAATAGAACCAACTTACATAAAATTACATTAAACACAGCATGTGATTGTATATAGTAAATTCCAACACATATTGCATACTAAGTTTCCTCTATCAGGTTATAATCCCTCGATTATTTTTCCGATTTTGTTGAAGTTTAACGTTTCTTGCCATGTTCAAAATAGTCTTAAAAGTCCATCTTGATTATAACTGCCTCAGAGAAACAGCTCATATCACTGTTAACATTATGCAACGTGGCATCAATAAACTTGAGAAAAATAATTACGTAATATGTTCATCTCTGGATCCTTCACTAGAACTGAGCAGCTATTATATGCCAAATGTCAAAACAAGACCGATGGATAAAAACGGAACAGGGAAACAGAGTTTATGGTTTGAAACATTCTGATATAGACATTAAAAATACTGCCACTTTGTTAAGTTAATCGAGTTATAAGATGATTTTTGCTGAAATGATATATTGCTTGTTGTTTTTCTTCGCTAAACCGTAAATATAACACTAGCATTGTTCAAAGTATTGTTAGTTTAACGGTACTCCAATTAAAACACTGGCAAACCTTTTTCTGTAAATGATTGTGTCACATAATAATAGTGATAATTGAAGTTTTGATTAAAGATTTTTATTTAAATATTTACTTAAAACTATAATCTAACGGATTTATATGAATTTGGTCTTGCATAAAATTGTCAGTTAAGAACTTTTAAATTTCAATAATTAAAATACATATTAGTCTGATCTTCAAATTATATTTTTGTCTATTTCTTTCTATTTAAAATGAATAGTAGTTTCTTATTTTTCTGATCTGAAAGCGATTCTCTTGATCCCCAGAATATAAATATTTACTTTTTGTCCAGCCCAACGATAGTATATGCATAAACCTTCCGTTATTTTCCAAATTTAAACTTAATTCCTTCCTTCTTTGAATATATAAGTTGTATTGATATAGCTAAAGGTATTTTCGGTAAGCCTGTTGTCAGAATTATGTATAATGTAACTTGGAAGTGTGCCATGCTTCCGTATTCATATTGTAACAATTCAGTATCGTGACATTTTGAGTGGCCAGTCATTATATAAACTGTTGTGAGAACAAAACAAACACACTAGACATTTCTCTTCTGGTAATGATTTGATGACAAGGGTATTTACCCCTATTAACAATAAGGGTAATGCACACCATATGCTATATCAACATTACTTTGTGTTTTTATTACAGTTCAATGAAGTTTTTAAAATATATTTAAACTTTCTATCATGTTGAAGATTTTATAGATATATTAAAACTTTCTATTATAGTCACGTAGAAAAATAATTTTAGTTGGTTTTCAATCAGGTTTTTAATACATATTTCAACTTTTCATTATATTGAAGATTAAATAGATATATCGAAACCGTCCATCAGAGTGTAGAAAAAATAAATTCAGTTGGCATTCAATTTTTGTTTTTAATTCATATTAAAACATTCTTTGAAAGAATTTATTAAAACTGTTCAGCCTTATCAAGTAAAGTTTTGATTTTAACTCATATTTCAGTAAAAACGTAAGGCATTAAATCTTTACATTAAAAGAAACTTTAAATCATCTTTAACTTCGAGGACATGACGCTACTTTGCTTCGACCTAGATTTATATTGCGGATGTCAACGATAAATCAGAAGATTCTTACCCTTCTGAAACGTCTGGTCTTTCTTTGTGTGAACAATAATAATGATTTTTGTTGTTGTTATTAGCATGTACAATGAACAAATTTCACTGAACATTTAATCATTTAATTATGTGAATGCACTTATGCAACACGTTCATTCCCAGAAAACGTATACATTTGAAACAAATATGGTCGAAATTGGTTCCGATATTTCTTACTGGTTAAAACCTAATATATCAATCATGCATCCTTTTCGTAATCTTCCTAATTGCGGAAAAACGGGTAAAATAATATCTTGCGCGGTATAGGCGTACTTAGTCAAAATCTAAACTAGGGGATGAGAATGCGAGGTATATAAATTCATGTTCTTTATGGCTCGAGTTCAAAAGGGTCAGTTATAGATTAAATCTTTATCTGGTCATATTTCATGTTGACTTTTGTTTGAATTTATATTATCGTTGTTCTCAAAAATCCCCGAGTAACCTCTCGTCCTACCATCAGGTTAACAGTCCCGAATGACCTCTCAGCTTTCAACTACATGAACAGTTCCATAATCTTAAGGCTTATCATTAGATAAAGAAGTCCTATAAACCTATTCTCCTATCACTCAAGACACGGATAGACATATGCTAGGTGGAAACCCATTGTGAAACGGGTCGAAACGTACTTTCTTCCCTTTAATTACGAAAATGTATATCGTGTTTACTACTGACAAACCCTGTTATTGTCACCCTTTTCACTTACATGTGTGAACTAGTGTCGTTTTCACTCATCCTAACATTAATCATAATACATTAACCACTGACGTAAGGTGATTATCATCATAAATATATTGAAATGCATGCCATTTTCTGTGTTGAATGGATAAAATATATCTAACATTACACAGTAAATGAAACTGTCAACTCATCCCCAAATATATAAAAGTATCATACCCACGCATCAGAGAAAGTATAGTTTCTATTTCCTGCAATAGTACACATTAGAATGTGTTATTTGTGGGAATCGTAACGATCATTGAAAAAGGACCAAAATACTTGAACTAGTTGCTTACAAAAGAATTACATTCTTTACTTTGGTATGAGTCTTCCGATTCTGATTGTGATGAAATGGTTCTTTATAACAATGGCCATACAATATTTTT